CTATTCTATTTCAGAATAAATTTCGATCATTTGTAATTAAATTTTTTTTTTTTTTAGATATTTATTTATCTTCAAGCCATTGTTAATTACAGAACAGCAATTAGGAAAAACAACCCGTTGTTAAAAAGAGCTGCGAAAAGAATTTTCTCTCCAATATGGTCTGCACGAAGGTACCCGATATACCGTCAGATAGAAGTTTCTGATAAAATACAATTTATGCAGCTTGACCCGTTAGTAAAAGATATTATAGAAAAGAATTGTATTGTATCTCGGTCAGGATTCATTAACCAGCATCAAGGACAAGATGCAATTTTAGAAGAAGTAAATAAGGCTCTAAAAACTTTAATTCCTCCGATCCCACAAATGCGGCATTGGAAAATTGCTGCTCGAAATTGTAAAAAGTTTTTTCAAGTATGTATATAATCATTTATAATCTAATTCTTTATATAAATTTATTTACATATCGAATTTTAGTTGCGAAATAATTTTTCAACTTAATCGGATTTAATGATTCTCAATCGACTGGTCCAAGAAATCAGCCGGAAGCGATTATAGAATACCAGAGGTTTCGAGCTCATCTACGTAAAGATAATTTCGTTGATCTAACAATGGACTTAAAAACTACTTACAATAGCTTGGGAGAGGAATATGAATTAAGTTTACAATTGATGGATTTCACTAATTTAGCTAAGCAAGCTCGACGTGAATTTATTACTAACGTTTTTATTAATAATGGCTCAGCTCCTTTATTTAGACCAATTCTAATTACTAAACAAGAAGACATTGCGCAAACAAGTGAAGCATCTATGACGGTGGCAGAAATTGTTTACAAAATAGAAGTGTTTTTTGAACAATTAGATGAGAGTGTTCAAAAAAAATATCGTGGGATTAAATCGAAAAAACGTAGTGAATTGTTGGTTATATTGGAAAAGATAAGATTTTTAATTAACAATGAATCTAACATTGAAAATTTAGAGATATCAAGAAGTGAAATAAGTGAAGTAGAACACGCTTAAAGTTCTGAATCAAAAAATTCTCATTTAAAATCGGAAGTCATCGTACTTGAATCAAGATTTTTATTTAAAATCAAAGGTCGTACTTTGGCAATTTTAAACATTCAAGGATTTTTTTTATTATTACTTTTTTTTTTTAATCACTTTAATTTATTTATTTAACTATTTATTATTTATTTATTTATCTGTTTATTATTTATTTATCTATTTATTATTTATTTATTTATTGATGTACAATATTATTAAATTTGAATTTAAATAAAATCGATATTATCCACTTCAAAAAATTGCTTCTTGATCTATTTTTATCGTTTTGTTTGCTATTGGTCGTATATTTGAATCCGATTCTAAGTTTCTTTTGGCTAATTTTGTATAGCATTTTGGCATTTCTTCTCTGAATTCTGATCGTTCGTGTGGCAAATTCTTATCGAAAGTCCAGAATAAAATATTCATCAAATACTCTTTCTTGTTACTAA